TTGCAGTTTATGGATCTGTGCTTTTTGCAAATGCAAGGGCCCTTAATTGCATTCACAGCTGTGGCCTCCCCACGCTAGAACACATAAGGCTGTCGGTAGTGCTTTCTCTTGAGAGCGAAGGAGAAAAGCCTCCTCTCATCCCATGTTATAAGTGGCTTCCATAAGCTCTCAGATTCCAATGGCACAGGAAGTCTGGCCACTTGGTACTTAATCGATAAAAACAGGAAACGAAAACTAACAAACAAACAAAAAAACAAATGACATCCTCCAAAATAACTGTCATTACTAACTAAAAGGGAATGGATGACATACTTAGTAGAGAAACAAAGAACTTACAATCAAACACACCTGTGGCCCCAGTTTCAGAACCCTGGACTTGCCTACAAGAAACCCTTTCTGGGCTAATTTCAAAGATTAATGAAGAATTGGATTCTACACTAACCTCAGGCATCTGTGAACTCAAATGTCAGGCAAAATGATACAGACAGTGAAATTCACCTTTGGTGCCCCACGCCTCGCCTACTTCTTTCTGTAATCCTCTCCCACCTCCAGGTAAACCTTTTTCACCACCCACATTCAATCAGTCAAATTATCCCACCTCTGCAATGTCTCACTCATCACCGTGACCCAAATGTCTAAGGCTGGGTAAAAACAACACTGTCAGATTTCATAAATGTGCAATGATAACTCAAACTAAAAGGAGACATTCTGTCACAGGGAAATAGAGCTTGTCAAAGAAATTCATCTTAAAATTGGGTAGCTCTCAAATTACAGACTTTATTTTTAGATATAAGTTTTACAATACGTACTGTTTCTCAAAAACTAAAATTTAAAAAATGATACTTCTTTTTTAAAAACCAGGACAAGTATTTTACTATTATGGAGCCATTATGATTTATATTTATCACTAATAAAGAAAATTTCTATTTTTAAGGAATTTTAATTTTTAGACTCTATTCTGCTTACTCTTGAAATTGAACATCAGTTCATTTTCTATCCTGTGAAACCCGTCGTTCTTTTACCATGTCTAAAATAAGCTAATGTATATGTCTTTTCCCTTCATTAACAATTGGTAAAATTGGACATACTGACTTCATGTTGCCTTCTGTAAAGTCAACATTCTCAACATTGCTCTCAACTTTGTTTAAACATATCTTTGAATATATGTATGTATATTTGAAATATATAGATTTGAATAGTACATATATTTGAACGTGTTTTTTAATATCTTTGAAAATACATCTTTGAATAATTTACTTCTAGGAGTCTAGTTTCCAAGTCTTTGAGATTTACTTTTCTGTCATCTTTTCTTTTTTGTTTTTTGTTTTTTTCTCCCTTCCATTTCTCCCTGACGACAAAAGGTCTAAGGAAAATAAACTAAGGGTGAAAATATTTACAGGTTGTGTTGCAGAGAATTTCCATCTGGGACTACCACTTGAAGCAAAGTGTAAGATTCAGGACTTTCATTGACTAGCTTTGTTTTCCCTGCTGGCCTTAATGTTCGTTATCATCTTGCTGGTGGCCAGTCACCCACCCCACCTCCCACCAGCCCTGACCCTCACCCCACTCTGTGTGGTAACCTCTAGGCTATGCCAGGAGGAGGAGAACAATCAGTTTATGAGGACAGGCGGGAACAGCATGCCCCCAACAATCCTGCCAGGAAAAGCAGACAGCAGCGCAACCCGCCTTGGCTCTCTCCTTTTCTTCCAAATTACACCATCAGATGATGTTTATAGGAATGGAGTAAAGCCCTTGGACAGACCTCAGTTGACATGCCCTGTCCGAGAAGGGGAAGTATTTCCACCAAGATCTAATGAGAGGAAGGCCTCCCAGCCTGGAGTGGGCCTGGAGTGGGGATGGGTGGGGGGACAGCCGGAGTCAGGTGTTTTCAGCGACTGGTAGTTTTCCATCAGACAACATGCGGCCCTCCCCAAAACAGCCCAGCAGTGTTCTGCTCCGTAGCCAGAAAAAGAACAGATTGCAATACAATACAGTGTTAAAAAAGAAATCAGCATAACTTCGTGGGAAGGAAAGACTCTTTTATAAAGAAAAAAGAGGAAGCTACGAAGACAATAAGAAAGAAAAAAAGACTCCGGAGGAAAAATTCCAGAGACTTGGAAGGGAAACTATAAAACTTAGAACTATTAAAGAAAAGAAAACTGTATAAACGTTATGGTCTAACAGTGAGTTCTTAAAAGAGAAGACAAGACAAATGAATGATGTGTTTAAGTCTTCAAGAGTTATTTTACAATTCACTCAAAAAAGTAACACGGCATAGGGTAAAGAACGAAAGGGTCAGGAGGTTACGTAGGAACAAGAACCTACTGATGGTACGGGCTGATAAACATCAAAATGAATTATTGAATAGTTCTGGAATTTAATTATTTGGAGAACTGTAAACACTGAACTTTAAAAATCTTTACCATACAGCACTTACTTTTGGTCTAGCACTTTATAGTCCTATTTTGTAGGGTTGTTACAAATATCAAATAAGATAAGATACCTGGACTAGACTAGAAAACGATTCTTCTAGTCCTTTCCGTTAACTCAGAGTTGAATGAATGCTCCCCACTCTCAACTATTTTATAAATGGCATCTGGCTCAACCCCCATGGCAATCCTGTGAGATTGGTAGGAAATATAATCATGTTCTATTTTACACTAAGGCCCACAGAAGCCAAGATTGTAGTCCTTGGTCACGGAGGTAGCCGCTAAGATGGTGTGAAGCATCAACTCCCTGTAAAAGCATTTTTGAAAGATACTAGTACTGGTTTCCACTTCAGAAAATTCATTCAAAATAAGCTTTATGATAATAAGAGTGGGAAAGGAAAGAAACAGAAGAATTCTTTGATCTAGTTCGTTTACTTGGAAAAATGGGTATATCTTGTGACATCTTCCTAACGTTTGAGTATCTGAGGCACTTATTTTGTTTGGGAATAGGTGCCCGAGTGTTTTCCTACAATCATGCTCAACCAACAGAGCTGATAAACTAAAACATACTGTGTTGCTTTGATTACACTGAAACAAAAAGCTGCCTTTTCACCATGACAGATAACCGAAATGAAATATTTTCTTAATAAATATTTTTGGTTTGCTAAGTCGCACAGCCAGCTTTCATATTATGCATCAAAACAGACAGTCTTTTCCAAGTTCTTTTTTTTTTAAAGCACAGTTATTTTGTAAATAAAACATTAGGCAAACAAAAACCTGAGTATCTCGAAAGGGCAGACTTGAAACTAAGTTTTGATGACTAATTCTAAATCCATCTATTATAATTATAAGGTAATGTCAATGACATAACTGAAATTTCTTGTATAGCAGTAAACTTGAGATTATTGGGCTTTTGATTATTCTATCGAGTTATAACAAACCTCTATCCAAGATCATGAGAGAGGGCAAACAAACCCAATATTACATTGCTGTTCAGGTAATAGCTCTACATAAAAATACAGGAAGAGAAAAGGAAGCAGATGGTAGAGAAAGGAAATGGCACTGCTGTGGACCATACATTTAAGACTTACTTAATCTGAATTAGTTTGCATAGCAGATAATTTTACCCTTAATTTAGTAAAATGGAAACTGATTCACAGAGCAATTAAGTGATACGTCCAAGATCATAAATAAGAGTAGAAGCCAAGATTCGAACCTAGATCTCTCAAAATTCCAAAGCTCAAAATTCCAAAGTCACTTGAGCTTGCACCTACCTACCTCTCCCAGCTGCTCCCCGTCCCTCCTCACTCAAATGCTCGGGCTTCAGTAACTCTAACAGGACAAGGTCTTTCCTTCCTCAGCACAACTAACCTGTTTTTGCTTTTACTTAGAAAACTCTTATTACCACTTTCTCTTGCTAGCTCTTTCTCATTTTTCAGTCTTCAGCAAAAACATCACTTCCTCAGAAAATGGTGCCACAATCCAAAACATGGTCCCCTGGTATATGTCTTCAATAGCACTCAAGACTTTTCCATTTCACTCATGTTTTGTAATTACACATTTAATTGTGTTTCCTCCTTTGATGATACCTTCCCCACTAAACTATTAGCTTCAGCAGTGCAGGAATCACCTCTGTTTGCTCTTCACTCTCTAGGACCTAGCACAGTGCCTAACACACAAAATGGATTCAATAAATACTTTTGAGTGAATGAGAAAGTGAGATATGGGAACTGTCTAAAATTATTCATCATCTAAGGTGCTCTCAAATTCTTTACTATCTAATAAGTTTGTCAGTCAAGAGCATTTAGAATTTACGGTGGTAGAAGACTTCAGGTTTTTACTGGTGTGCCAAAATGAAATACTAGCAATGAGAAAAGAAACCATTATCCACTTTATCAAAAACACATGAAAAAGCCATGGAAAATGTTATGGCTCTGAAGCCCCTCACCATGCTGGGAAATTAGCAGGATCCTGGGTTTGACGGTCACTCCCTTGGATAAGAAGCCATGGCTGTTCCTCACTGGTGTCACAGTCATCATAGCGTGTCTGTTCTGGGTTACCAAAAGACTGTCTGATTAAACCACATGCCAGGTCTCTTTACCAACTCTTTAATATTAATTACTGCAAACTAATCCAGGCTAATTCTTTCAGGTTTTATAAAGGCACAGGCCCCGCCTTCCAATGATATTTCCAACTTTTATGCTGGGATTCACTTAAACAGAATTTGCTCAGGTTACTTCCTGTGGGTGAAAAACTAATGCACTCTAGTTAAGCAAAGATTGAACGGCAAGTCAAAATTCTTCAGTTTTCATTGAGTTCTGTTACCACCTCACTATGTACACTTAGAGGCCAAATAATTTTAACCCCTCTAACTTATCTTAACTTTCCCATCTGTAAAACTACGACCATCACTCTAACAGAGTTATAGCTAGTCCGAGGGCTTGTAAGATTCTCAGAGACATTTGGGTGATTGACCCTTGCTCTAACTCTGCAACTCTAGGATCAGAAAAAGTCTTAGATGAGACTGTGCTAGCCTGGGGGAGAACGAAAATGTTAAAAAGAAGGAGTGTGGTGCTGGCTTCCAGCACATATACTAAAAATTTAAATGATACAGAGATTAGCAGGGCCCCTGCTAATGGGGCAAGGACAGCATGTAAATTTGTGAAGCATTTCATATTTTTTTAAATGAGAAATTAAAAAAATAGTGTTTTGATATCTGTGTACTCTATTATACCAGAGTCATATGGCATAACACCAATAGTGATGATTATAAACATCCAGCTGGGTTTGGTTGGGGTGCAGTCGGGGATGGTTCTGCCCATTGCTCAATGACACTTCCTACAAGTCCCAATGTGATCCTCAGTCACTCAGACTGATCAGACACAGTGATGTTGAAGTCCTCTTTGCGAGACCCTGAGGTTTATAGAATATGACTGTCATAGGAGAACATTGGTGATCTCTCTACTGTGTATCCCCCTAGCACTTTTTTCCATCTATATCTTTAGATAAATACACCTTGACTGATTTTCCAGGTAGTATCTGCACCTGGCCTATCACTCAGAACCTACTATTGATATTTGTCAACATGGTGGTAACATAGGTTCAAATGTACTTTGGAAAAATAAAAAGCATTTCACAATTAAGAGTGATTATCACCAACTTGCCACAAAGGTGAATTTTTTGAGCTCTGATTTTTTTTTTCTTTTAGGCGAGGCAACTCTTTGTTGACCTTACAGACTGCAAGAACCTTGTTAGCTTACAATCCCTTATTTTTTATTTATTGTTTATGCCTACAGCACCTGGTCTTCCTAGGTGGTCTCCCATCCAAGTACTAACCAGGCCCGACTCTGCTTAGCTTCTGAGATCAGACAGGATCAGACTTGTTCAGGGTGGCATGGCCATAGTGATCTCTGATTTCTATAAGAAATAGATGCAATACTATTTGCAATCAGCTCAAACTCAGACTCTGTTGCTGCTTATAGGCTTTATGTCTTCAGAGTCTCTCGAAACCTGAGTATCTCTATCTGAAAAGCAGAAATTCAATAATAGTAGTGTCTATCTCATAAGGCGATTGTGAGGGTAACAGGGACCAAAGTTTTGCCACCCTGAAGCTGCCTTTGAGATATTGATTTTAAGCTGTCTATTAAGAAACAAAAGACTCAAAAAGAATCTTTGATCCTCCGCTTTCCTGTCCAAGAGATTTGGATCGAAAGGCCTACTCCAGGAACGGAATCTTAGGATGTTGCCTTAGCCTAATTTGAATTAAGTATGGTAAATAGCAAGGCTTCAGGCAGAGGTCTGTTAGCTAGATAGCCTCTGTGTCCCACTGTTTCTGAGTAGCCCAGCAAGAGTTTGCCTGCCACATATGATCTGCTCTTCCTAAGCTACCTGCAAACTGCCCAGTCTCACCTCTGAAATCCAATACCCCTTCCCCACCTTTCTCCTTTATCCAAAATGTCATATATACTCAATGTTGCCTCACTGTCTTGGAATTTTCATGCTTATGTGAATTCCCTATGGGTATGTATTAAAATTTTATTCTCTCCTATCAATGTCTCTGTTAATTTAATTATTAGCCCAGCTAGAAGAACTTAGAAGGTGGAAGGAAAAGTATTAATATTTTTTTAGCCTTCACAAGGGCAAAAGATAATATAGAAAATACCTAGTGTTGTCCAGCTCCCAGAAGGTGCTAATATTTTAATATGAAATCAGAAACCCAAAATCTGAGAGAAGTAAATGAATTTAAAAGCTCTGCATGCATCAGAATATTTTATGGTAAAAATAACAGAAAATTAAACTCAAACTGGCTTAACTTATAATGGAGATTCACTGGCACCTGTAACTGAAAAAGTCCATGGGAAATTTAAACATCGAGCAGTGTGCATTCATGGAAGGTGCGACACAATTTCTGTGCGGTTGTCCTGGCTCCCCCTTACTCCACACATTACTTTTCCCTCAGGCCGGCTTCCATCACTGTTGCAAGATGCCTGCCAGCAGCTACCAGGGCAGAACACTTTCTCCTTCACATCCAGAAAAGAAAGGATATGACTTCTCACAACGAACAAGAGTCCTCAGTTTTAGAGACCCTTGAATTAGCCACTGTGACCAGGTGAGTACCAGGCACTGACATTTAGAACTGGGGAAACTGAGTAGAGAGGTGTTATACAATGGGGAAAGGTAAAATGAATGTCACAAAGAAAACCACAGTGTCTGTTATAGTAACACGATAAATGCTTAGTGGGTGACAATGCATTCCAAAGTTGTGGTTGGGTTTTGTTTGTTTGTTTGTTTGTTTGTTTGCGATGCATTCCAAAGTTGTGGTTGGGGTTTTTTTGTTTGTTTGTTTGTTTGTTTTTAAGAAAATAAAATACCTATGAAGAAACACTGAGTTCTAGGGTTTCCAGGACCCTAATAAGCCCAGATGGCAGAGGAGGAATGGGGAAGAAGCTGGCAGGGACTCTCTGAACTGCCCACTGGAAACCCCAAGGTATAACCCAGCTCAGGAGGAAAGTTTGCTGTCCTCTAGGGGGCCCTGAGAGTTTGAGCACCAGCATCTTCAAGGCTGCTCTGAACACCCCAAAGGTGGGAATCATGGCAGAGTTCTTCCATCCGATTCCTACAGTTCTGAAACCAACTGGAGGAGCACAAGAAAACTTCCCACTGCTGGGGAAGTTTAAGTGATGAAAGCTCCTCTTCTTATTTTTCCAGAGAAAACTGCAAACACTCCATCAGTGCCACTGGAAAGTCTAAAATACTGACACAAATGAGATCTCCGCTTAGAAAGAAAGTAAAAGTCCCGGGACAAACCTCTTAAGATGATTTCCTTTGCCTAAATAAAGCATTTGATTGGATCGTGGGGCTCATTTGGCTGTATGGAATTAAAATCCACTTATGCAAAGGTACTTACACAAAAAGTGAATTTATTAGATGATTACTCAGTATCTTCCGGCCAAGAAGTAGAGCCGGCCTCAGAAGGGACTAGATTCATTTGACCAAGGTATGAATGCCCAATCGCTTTAGTTTTCTGTCACAACCAGCTTTCCTGGCTTAACTTTTCTATGGGTCAGTCTTGGATTTACATATTTCTTGTTCAAGAGCCATTGCTACAATGCTGAGTAGTTCCTACAAGCCAAGCCAGATTTCTGAGAGAAAGGGCCCACTGATACATGTCGGGTCAGATGGCCATCCTTGGCCAATCGACTACGGCTGAGGACGGCTATACACTCAGGTTGGGTTCTATCAGTGGACTCTGAGAAAGGTAATGAGCAGAAAGGTCGAAATGACCGAAATGCGTATGTTAGACATGTCAGTTCTTTCCTCTTCTATCAAAGTATAGTCAGTGCTAGAGGATTTCATAAAAACATCAGAGAAATAGAAACCATGAGAACAACATGAACAAAGTGTAGACAAGTAATCTCTCAGCTTGGCCCCATTCTAACTTTTTATGTATCCTTGATATAGCACAATTTCTTAGTGCTGCATGTTTTTCATGTGCCAAATAATTATACTTTTCTTTGTAACTCGTAGGATTATAGAAGAGATAAAGAAATAATAGATATGAAAATAATTGTAAACATTAAAATGATGTTATTTACACTCTGTACACTATAAAGCATCTCTTCTGAATTCTAACTCAAACTCCAGTGTTGACATGGAAATACTTGAGTTCAGAACAGCCATTTGGGTTAATTCTCCTAGGGGGACACAGATCTTACATCTACCACATTACTGTGGTGGAGTGTTTGACAAGTTACATGCTTACACAGCATACACACGACAGACACGAGAGAGGAGAGCTGCAAAGATTACAGAAAGGCAGGAAAGTAAAAACAAACAAAAATAACAACAAAGTAAAAACAAGGAAAAAAACCCTCATCCCCATGAAAACAAAAATAGATAAGTTCATACAGCCTGCAATATGTACTCCTTATCCACTAAGAATAAAAAGAATGGAAATAGGCTGCAAATAAGAGATTTGGACTTAAGAGAGAAATTCCTGGGCATGAGGGCTACTAAGCATTTCCTACCAAACAAAAGTATTCAATCAGTCCTTCCCATGCAACAAATGATGCACTGTTTGACTGACACATTGTTTGACAGATGCATCGTTTGACTGATGCATTGTTTGATGGCAGGATTTGTTGCATTCATCTTTGATTCCTCAGCATCCAGCATGGTGTGTGACCTTGCAGACACTCAGTTAATATTGCTGAGGATATGAGTGTTCAGAGACTGAAATGACAGCAGTATACAGCTGTCATTTCTTGTACCTTCTCTGATCAAAAATCAGTTCCTTGGCACCATGCAAGGGAAGGGGGACATTTAACTTTCTTCGTTCCAATGTAAAATGTACCAATTATGAGAATGTTCTTGTTTTTGTGGACTTAGAGGTGATCCCCAAGAAGCAAGTGTCCCTCTATATTGTTATCTTTCTAGAGTAGCCTGACACTAAAAGCCTGCCATTTACCAAAAATCCTCCTAATTTATGTGTTATGTCTCTTGATCTACTCATGAAGGTTGGGCTGAAATTTGTCAATAACCTCTATTCCTTAGTGCTGTGTCAGAAAACTGACTGAGCTTTTAGTACAGTGGAAGGCAATGTGGCATGCTAGAAAGTCCCCTGTGAACTTGGGATAGTTCTGATCTTGCTAGTAACTGCTTATCTGGTCTTAGGTACCTCATTTGGCTTCTCTTCATCTGTTTTCTCATTTGTAAAATAAGAGAATTAAACTAGGTGCTCTCTCATGCCTCAGTTCTATCACTGTATGGTTCCAAATAGCATACCATTATCTTAGAGTAGCTTACTATACCTAGAAAACCAGTTACTGCTCAAAGGGAAGATGAAAGCAAGTGTGATATTCACTTAATTTTTTAATTTCATATTTTCAGCAATTTCTGAGTACATTTAAAGTCTGAGTCTTAGTCAATGTCTGAGGGAACACATTTTTATCTCTGAGGGGATTGGGTCCATCTTCTTCATCCCCATTACCATGAGCTAAAAGTGGCAACATCAAAAAAAATTTAAAAAATAAAAATAAAAAGCCAACTTTACTACCAAAATGACTGAAAGAAAAATGTCAACGAAAAAAATTTTAAACCCAAAACAAACACCAAACAGCAAAATTCCAGTCTGTCAAATACAGTAATTTGTGATTGACACATCACTGTTGATTTACTTCAA